GGGTGTAAAAGTGAACACCTATATGATCAGATGCAGGCTCTGAAATACCATAAGCAGGATATAGCAATTGCTGGGAGGAGAGTCTGATCTCAGGCTGGTCAGGTGGAGCAGCCTTACCTGCCTTGTGGTATTCACTGATTCTAGAAATGTGACTGGGAGCTCAAAAGTTTCTCAGTGTTTGTTACAGGGCCAGTGTTGTCTTTATCTTGGTTCATTTACTTTAGCCAGATGTTTATGCTGAAACATTACAAACTGTTTGTGGAAAATCAAGGTGGCCAAGAGATTCAGTGTACGGTTTGCTAGTGTTGTCATGTAGCTGTCTTGGTTATCATTAAGTGTTTATTCCAAATTTGTTGGATGCCGAGGAGGGAGCAATAATATGTTGTTTGCGTGAATGTGTGAGTGTGTTGTATAAAAAACCAGCCTTTCCTTTTCTTTCAGCTGCATGGTGGAATTCTTCGGATATTCCCAGAAGGAAAGTCCTATGTGGCAGATGTTGAGCCAATTTTTGACCGATTACTTTTTTTTTGGTCAGATCGAAGGAACCCACATGAAGTCCAGCCTTCTTATGCAACCAGGTAAGTAGCATATTTGGTATTGGTACTTGGCCAAGAAAAAACAAAGCATCTCTTCTACCAATATTTGTATCTAAAATTATGGCCATTGTGTTTTTTTTTTAAATACACATGTGCATAAAAACCAGATAGCGAGATTTTCTGCTTTTGAGTCACAGGGAATTCTCTCTTCAAAAGAGGAAGGACAAGCTTGAATTATAAGAGTTCTTGTGTGATGGAAAAAAAGTGCTTTTACCATTGACAGGAGAAATCTTCCAAGCCAGGCATAGCTATTTAGCTGGGAGATGCTGGGTTATACTTTTGCCCTTGTAACACTATAGGGATTCTTGGGGCTACCATCTGTCAACAGGCTACAAAAAGCTGATGTGATGCAGGGCAACCCCCAAGCTGCCTACCAGCATCCCAAAACAGAAAAATATGCAAAGGTCTGTAAGCTACTTCTGCCCTCTGTTACCAGGGGCTGTGCACTCTTGTGCCTCCAAGCAGAAATTATCACCTATATTTCTATGTTACTTGATAAAAAATACACATTTTAAATGCTGTCTATATTTGTCTATAAAGATGTGCCATTTGCATCCTATTTTTTTAATCTACTAATCCAGTTTTGTTTTTTGCTTTCTCTATGAGCGTAAAACTCCAGGGCTCTATTTCAATAGCGAAAGTTGAAACAAACAGAAGATTTCTTTCTTTTATAGATATGCCATGACTGTGTGGTATTTTGATGCTGAAGAAAGAGCAGAAGCCAAAAAAAAGTTCAGGAACTTAACTGGTATGAGTCTTCTATAAGTGTTCACCAGAAAGAATTTAATGCATTTTGATATTTCTGAAGTCAGAGACAGACTGGGAATAACTCTGTAGCTAGATGGGTATGACATCCATTTTTAGAAAGCTTTTTCATCTCTAATCACTAGTCAGTTATTTTATGTGGAGAAGTTGTGACAGAAGAAGATTCAGACCTTGATGAGCGTGATGGGGAACACAGGAGAGGTGGTTTCTGATTTCTCTCCCAAATGGCTGCTGAGATTTTGTCCCACCCCAGGTGGCTGCTTCACCACTGGGAGTCTCTAAACTCTTCTTCTGTTGTTTAAGAAGTATATTTTACCTTCTCCAATCTTTGCTTAGCACAAAGTCATGAGACTTACACAAAAAATTTCATAATCATGTTCTCTAAATGTTCTGGCTGAACAGGGCCTGTCTTCTATATTAATGAAGGGCAGTTGGGGCCTGCAGTAATGCAAAAGGGATTTGTCTTTAATTTACAAGTAGGTATATTCATAATGACCTTGGAATGTATAGATCGAGTTGGAAAGAAACTAAGTTTGGAAATATATATAAATGCATCTTTTGGCAGGCAGTTGCTAGAGTAGCTGTGATTGCGGTGCACATTAAGAGCTACCTACATTCAACTGGGACTCACAGATAGCTTAAAGTCAGCCCAGAGACACTTCTGCAGAAGCCCAGGAAGAGGTGACCCCAGCTTTTCTAACGGCAGCCACGCTGCCTGCTACTGCAGTAATGGCATGCAAATAATGGACTGAGTTGTCCAGATGTGCCTCAACACCCTACCTGGGGCCATGATCAAAGATTTGCTGTTTGGAGCAGTTTAAGATCTGGTCTTCAGGGGCTGCCTCAGGCAGTTCCTCAAAATACAGTGTGGAGAGCACTTGTGTCTTTTAAAATGTATGCTGTGCAGCTGGGGACCAGCAAAGTCATTAGTCAAATGCTTTTCAGAACAGACTGTTGTCATGTCTGTAGCTGGTATGCAAAGCAAATACTGGCTTCGCCCTTCAAGGAGATCATAAGCAAGGGGCCAAGAGTGGGGGGAAAAGTATCACAGATCTGTAATCTGAAAGTTTATTAGGCTACTTAAATACGGCATGAGTTACATTCAGTTTCAACAGGGCAAATGTACAAAACCTTGGTATGACACTCTTGTTAACATGCTGTGGATTCATACAGCATTTCAGTCCATGTAGTGAATTCATATCATGACTCTGAAATGCTGTCCATTGAAAACAAAGCAGCTTTATTCTGTTTCTGAGTTTTCAGATGAATGTTGTCAGAACCCTCTGGCTTAACTGCCTCTCATTTTTTCATCTTTTTGATGTAGATGCAAGGAAGAGAGAAGCAGCTCTTAATGAAGACTAAGCAAATGCTCCCGAGCTCTTTGTGAGGAAATGAGATCCCAAAGATGACTTCCATTTCCAGCGAACAAGGGCAAATTCTTGTTATGCACAAGAATGCACTGGTTGTGCCTAGCACGTGCATCTTATGTTGATGGTACTTAAGGCCGCCTCCTGTCATGCCTGCATCTGGCAGAAGGAACAGTTGTTTTCTATTTGCCTTTTGCTGGAAAAACTAACCAGGGTTTTTTTTAAAAAAAAAAAAAAAAAAGTATCACTAAGCCTAGTGGTAGTGGCTCAGCCAACTGGCTTTGATCAGTCTTGTAACCAAGATAATGATTGTTGGAACTAGTGGTAAAAACCTGAGTCTTATTTGCACTTTATGGGGGGTGGGGGGGGGGGGGAAATCTAGCTCAATGGGAAGGAACTTTACAAGTCTAAAATCTGTGGCAGACTGCTAATGGGCAAGGAGAGATACTGGAAATGTGAAATTAATAGCATGACTTTCCAAACAGATTTTTGTCTACACAGTCATCGCTTTTCCTGGGTTTTGTTTGCTTTTCAAGAGTCAAGTGCAGTTGTGCTGCCCTTTCTGTCCCAGGACTGAGAGGGAAGTAGGTATGCATCTGTCCACAACTTTGTAAAACCATTTCCTTTCTGTTCTGCACAGGATGGGTTGTATGTTTTCTATTTTCATGGTTTGGTAAAGCAGCTATTTTTCTCCCAAAAGTTTGGTGAGCTTGGAAGGCTGATGGCACACAATTCTTTGGCACTAGAGGCCAGTGATACATAGAGTTAAGTGTTATTTTCATGACTTCTCCGTCTACTATGTTTTGTATGACACAGATGTGAATCTGAAAGGAAAAGATATGTCTGGCAGTCTGACAAAGGTATGATAAATAATGGGTAACTTAGACTTGATTTCTATGCTGCTTATCCTTAGTTAATACACTTGTTTAACTTTGCATCCATATGTAATTTGAGTGAAACAGCGATTCTGTTTCAATTGTTCTGTTACGCTAGGTAACTACTTCTGCTGTGCCCAAGCCATGAGATCAGAGTTATTCAAATGGCAAAACACACTTTTTTTTTTCCTCCATTTTTTTGGAACTTATTAGACTCAATGAGTAACTGGTGAGCTATCTCCAATCTGCCTACGCTTCTACAACCAGCACTTACTCTGCACTTCAGAATAGCTCTTAATGAAACTGGGAGCTGGTGGTAGATGTATTTTATTACTCACACTAGTTGTTCTCAACCTAATACACTCACTTGCATTCATTTTCATCTTGTGTTGTCAGTGTGTATGACAGACTCTACTAAATGTTCTGAATAATGCCCTCTTCATGTCCTGTATTTTCCTGTGCCACCTGCCCACAGTGGCAAAGGTGTCTGAACCCCTGGCCCCTGCACCGGTTCACCACACTGTGCAGGCTGTCATGCTAGTGATGGGTCTGCGGGCCAGCTCGATTGCACTTGAGCTAGGAAATGAAAAGGTAGTGTGCAATGGCAACTATTAAATGCCAGTGACAGAAGGGTAACAGCTGCATAAGACAGAAAAGATAACCAAAAAAAAAGCTTTCATGATACAAAAAATGGTAATAGAAATTGAGTATTTCTTTAAGCAATTCTGTCTCTTAAAAAAAAAAAAAAAGCTAGACATCCTTCACCCTGTCCTTGAATTCTGAATGTAAATACAGTAGTGCTCAGAAACCCCTCATTCTCTCTGGCTTTTCCCAGAGATCCAGCTCTGGTCTTATGGGCTGGACGTTGTTCAGCCTGACCACTGTGCACCTTAAGAGAGGAATATGAGGGAACATGTGTGACAAATATTCTTACAACTCAAGACTAGAGAAAGACGAATAGTCTGATAAAAGTCCTTTAATGTTAGGAAAAACATTATTCCACTACTGTTGCTTCTAAGTAGCACAACATAGACTTGAAGGAAACTTAACTTGAAATTCTCATTCTGCAGTGTTCATGTGGGAGGAGAAGGAGTTAGAGTTCTTCTCTGAGAGTGAGGTAACCCTTTGAAAGATGGGAGACGTTGAAAAAGGGGGTGGGAAACACAACCTGTTGTATTGCTATGCAAAGTTGATAATGGCACGTAAATTTGAAACTTCTACATGATTTTAAAAGGGGCAAAGACAGCTCAACCAGAGCAGAGCAAATCTTGCTTTGCCTTTAGAAACTGTAACCTTAAAGTGCACTAGAAAGAGATGTTAGTACACATCTCACCGGAGCCCAGAACAGTGGAAAAACAGCCGGATAGGAGGGGGAAAGGCTTTGTATAAAAGCTAAGAAAAGAAAGGTACTTCAGTTACCACTATTACTACCACCTGGCTTCAGCAGTGGTCAGCAACATGTGTGTGGTGGATGGAGCATGGCGCAGTATAAATGCATTTATTGTAAATCAAGTACATTTTTATTAATTTTTAGGCAATATCTTTCTGATCTAGGTAGGGGAGAGAGCAATTATTTGTGGCAGAGAGCATTGTCTTTTTCTTTATTAACACATATAATCAAGTACAAAAATGATGAGGGCACAGGCTTTTCAAACCAATTCCTCAGTCCTCTGTTCCAGACTTTTACCCTGTTTCCAGATCAGTGGGATGATCTTCTTGAAGATGCTGTAGTTTAACTGGGGGTAGGTGGGTAGGGTGTTGGTCATGTAGGAATCCACAGGCTTGATGTTTTCTATACAGATTTCTTTTGCTTGTCTCTGGAATTGTTGCAAACTGCTCTGCAAGAATCAAATTATCTGAAGAACCATGGGGGAAGCAGGCTGCTGCAGTAAGGAGAGCTTTTCAAGGAGGCTTTCCTTTCCTTGTGTTTTGTCTTCATGGCAAACTGTTTGAAACATCTATAGCTGAACAGCACTTGTCACCCAGTTGTGAAAGTGTTTTCTATAAGGCATTTAATTTTTAGTCCTCCAAAAATTTTGTTGTTTTTTTTCCCACATTTAGGTAATGTGCCTTCATCATTCATATCTGTGAAGATGTTGCATGCCACATGTGCATGTCATGCAAATTTTTCATGGCTCTTCAAGAAATATGGTTGCCTTTCCAAATGCAATTGCATTTGAAAAATATACAGAGCCACCAAGCCATGATTTCCAATACGTGGGGTTTTTGTTGTGCAGGGAGGAAAAAGGCCAGGACACAGTACTGAAAATCGAGAGAATATTTTTATTCTTAAACCTGTAACCACTGGCCTTTTGAGGAAAACAGCCTCTAATAAATCTTATTTTCTCTAGATTATTTCTGGTTCTATGAGGAACGATCTCTGCAAAGCAGTGTCTAAAAAGATCCACTCTTTTTTTCCCTTTTCTCCTTAAACAGTTTTAGTCCTTTCCTATTGCATTTTTTAAAATGTTTGAATATATTGTATGTATTTGTTGTTGTTGCAGAATAGCTGTCTCTAACACCACTTGCATCTAGAAGAAAATGTATCTATTTGCAGGCAAATAACTAGTTCTACTTTGATGTACTCCCAGCAGATATCTGAGAGTGAGTTATGACTACATCTTCTCTTGTCAGGTTGTATGCTGGTCAACAATGCTGGCACTTTGCATCGGATTGATATAGAAACCCCTAGTAGTATTTTACCATACAGCACATTTTGTGTTCCTGTTACTATTAAAAAAAAAAGGTGGCAGGAGTCAATAAACACTGGGTCATGTTAAAAGGTGTCCTGTGCAAATCTTTGTAGTCTTGTGTCTTACCATGGCCAGGGTTGCGGTGGGTGGGTGCCGTGCCGCACAGCTGGGTGAAGGGTGGTGCCACTACACAGAGGTGACACCAAAATCCGTGGCTGCCACTGTCCTCTGCTGTTGGGGAGATCTCTGTTTGTTGCCGTCAGCTTGGTGCGTTTCCTTGGTCACTTCCTGCCATTTCGAAGTTATTTACCTTGCTAGTGACCCTCTTCTTGAAATGCCTATTTGTTTTCACACTCCTGTTGAACCAGATAACATTCTCACAATTCAATTTTTGTCTGATAAGTTTTGGTTTTAACAGTGCTACTTTTCCAGCCTGAGTCCCTCAGTTTTCTCCTGCAGCCATGGGGGAGGCTTCTCCCCCCTCTGACTAACATTGCAGTAGAATGAAAGCCAGGACATTTTTGCTCATCTGTTAAAGTGCTGTGAACTTTTTTGATTATGTTGCAATATTGTGAATAGTGGGAATTTCCCGCCAATGTAAAAGATGCTTTCTGCTGTGGAGGGCTTGGATCCGTCTTTTTCTGATTAAAGAGGGGAGAGGATTCTCGATAATTTGCCACTTCTTGAAGCATTTTTTTTTTTATACCAAGGAGTGCTTAGAGCATGTGGAGAAGACCTAAGGAAAGCAGAAGGGTTTCTCTTCTAAGCATGCTCCTCACTGAGTAAGGGTTTGTGGGGACAGCTCAAGAAGATGATGGGCATTGTCCATCCAGCTGCCAAGGACTTATCTTTTCTCTGAACTCTGACTAAACTTTCTCTAGGCAAATATGCTTGCAGTAATTGTTGCCTTAAAGCTATTTAGTGGTCTCTTTCCTCCCCCACCTACTCCAAGGGGTATGGCTAAATATACTTTCACTGACAATTCCCATGACTCTTAAGAATGCATCTGATATCAGAGGCTGCACTGAAAATTACAAAGTAGCGTGACAGTGGAGGAGAGCTTAGTAAAAATTGATTCCCTTTTCCCACATAATTTTGTCTCTGTGGAGTACTTCCACCTCAGAGAGTTGGTAAAACTCCCATCCTCTTTCACAAAGCGTAGATAAAATTTTTTTTAATCTGTCTTGTGGAAAGAGGGGATAATTTCATCTGCATGTGTGCTTATTTTAAACAATGCTGGAGATTCTAAAGAAACTACACTAGACCAACAACTGTCAACAGCTCATGTGTGGCAAACCCAGTCAGTGCCAGCATGCAGGTCTGCTCCTTTGCTGGACACCCACAGTGGTAAATCTTCCTGCTAGAGGTGAGAGAGGAGGCAATTTGTGGTCCTCGATCTTAGCCGGCACCCCGGAGACTGATTTAGCAGGAGGGCAGTCAGAGTGTGACTGCCTAGTCCCAGGGTTTTGGGAAAGTGTTAATCTGTCTGGCTCTTAAAAGTCTACTGTATGGGTGGCTGGTGGGAAGCATGGAAAGAAAGACCCTGTAGTCCAAACTAACACAGCTCTGGAGATCACTTGTGATTACAGGCAGCTGTTCTTTTAATTTTGATATTTTCTCAGCTCATATTTGCTGAGTGTCTTGTGCTAAAACACCTCAGAACAGCAAAATCAGAACAGAGGTTTAAACTAGAGCACTTACGGGGGGAAGAGATCTCCAAACAGTAGAGCCAGTGCATTTAAACAGAAGGGTTTCTGTGCTTGAATGTGTCCCTTTTTTCCCAGCTGTGT